GTCACGAACATGTTCCAGGAAGGCACGTGGATTTTCACTACCCCAAATCCTGCAGTTGTGGATGAAGACCTTACCAGTGACATGGAACGTGCTTTCATCACTGAAAATTACTGAGTCCAGAAATCCTTCGTCGTCTTCAACCCGCCGTAACATTTCCGTACAAAATTCCTTACGAGCCAGTTTTCGGTACTACAGTTTATGTGCGTGAAACTTGATGTGTTTGGCTAAATTTGCGCACGTCCTTTAAATAAATTTATATTCTCCTGCGAAGTTGTAATGCTACTTTTGAAACACGGTGTATTTTACTGTTGAATATGATTTAAAAACTGGTTCGTTCTAAAGACTACATGGCTGAGCATTTTGAGAAAATTCGAAAGTACAAATTTCCAACCAACTCGATAATTAATCTAATTGTGCAATGGTTTTCTGAGTACAGTATTTTAATGAAAAATGTTTCACTGGGTTCTACCACTCAATCTGCATTTTTGTTCCTGAGACGTTCTTGAACATGCAGTTCGGCGCAACTGGACAAACTTTGTGCAGAAGACGGTAATATATTCAACACATATTCCACTTAAAAAAAATATAATATTCCTGTATAATAAATTCTGAATAAGTTTCGGTTCAATCTAAAAATAAGTCTTTCTTAATTTTGAAAAGAAAAAATAAGAACACAACCCTTTCATGACGAAGGTCATTTAAGTAATATTTAAAAATTCAGTACCTACCTAAAATAAAACACTATGAGTCCCCATTACAAAGATATAATAAATTTGTTTAAGAAAATAATCGTTGTTTACGCTACAAATCGTACGAATGTTAAAGCAGGTGGTACATAGTTACCAATGGACTTTGGCGGGTTAACTGATACCACACAGCTTTTGTGGAACAATTGCTGAGAACTGTGGAGATCGAGTAAACGCTAAAGAACATATGATGTTATTCCAAATATACCACAATTCATAAATAACGTTCAAATAAAACTGCATGATACAGTATCCCTGCCTACCAAGCGCAAAATATATCGGCTAGTAGCGAGTATCGAAGTCTATCGCTCGATACTCGAAGACTATCGCTCGATACTCGAGGCAGAGTTTTACTGGCGCACAGTCGATTGTCAGTCTTCTGCGCAACCTAGTATCACTGTTGATCTTGTGTTCACTTTCTTGATTCTGAAGGACGAATAGCGACAGTATAACGGGTTACAGAAGACGAAGTTGATTTGCCTGCAGCTACAGCGTAGCCTAGCTGGTTTGTTCCGGTTCCACACCTCTTCAGCAACGCGAACTTCCTGCTTAGTAACATTGCAGTGGGGAACCATCTGATAATATTACGACACAAACCAAACAATGGTGTTCAGATGAAGGCAGTAGTTCGGTTAAAGATACAACGGTAAGCAAGAGGAATAATAAAAGATACCAACCCTCATTAATTATTACTGTATGGTGGGGGAAAAACTTTCTCGTTTAGGTGGACATTGCATGACTTTCAAACGGATGGAAGTGTGTAATGGAGCACGGGAAGGAGGGGGGGAGGTCAGTAACAGTGATTCGTCTAAAGGGGTGGGGGGGAAATAGAAGGGGAAAGGAGGTGCGCGTATGAGCTAACGAAGAACTCCCTTTCAAAATAACGCCTTGTTTTATACATGTCTGTCTCAACAGAACTTCGAAGTCTCGTTGTAAGCGAAAGTTAAGATGACAGGCGCCCCACTACAAAATTGTCCAAGAGTATATAACAGAAGTTGGGTGGTTTCGATATTCAGTCTCCCCCAGTCATCGGACGGCTGGTAGTTAGATTTCAATCCAGACTCAAGAAAATGATAAAAACGGTAAGTGGCTGGCAAATGTAAAATATCATAAATTACATCGAAAAATAAGTGATATTTTCTGTGCGTGTGATACAGAGTGGAGTGGAGCATAAGGAGTGATTAAACTATAATTAAAAATAAACGAAAACTGGATTAACTACAGAAACTGCAGTTTTTGCCTAAGTTTATTTATATTCTCTTACCCTTCGGCAAGAATTAAAATCACATGTATCTTTCGGATTTTTGTATTGTTGATTTTTCATATAAGATACAATTTTTAAATTAGGCCTACCGTTATGGTCTCAGCCCCGAAGTGAAATCAGCATAGGACGATGACAATTATAATTTGAATCACGTGTTTAATGGGAATATCCTCGTAGGCGTTCATAAAATAATAACCAGAAACTGATAGATTATTGACACCATGATTATATCTCAAGAAATTTCTGAATATTATCAAGAACAAAAACTGAGTTCATTAATTAAATATGTATGTCGATTTAAATTAGGATGATCTCGATATGGCTGAATTTCGAAACTTGTTGGTTATTTATTTACAACTTATATTATGTACCTGATAAAACAAACTGATTATAACAGCGGGATGTAGGCTAGATGTTAAAGAACTCACGAGCAGACCCCGACTGCTGGCTCCGATAATTCACAAAGGGCGAAATCTCTCCTACAAAAAGCCTTACATTTGATCTAAGCCCAAACTTATATATAGGCTGGATAAGTAGACATTATTTTAAAAAAAATACAATACATTTAGAATCTTAAATTCGGCCGTTTCAAGTTGTGACTTCGTTTTCCAAGACTCAAAAGCCATTAAGGTTTCTGGGTTTTCCGAATATGATCACCGTCCAGACTTCGATCTGGGTGCAAGTCCGGACATTCAAGTAATCAATAGAAATCAATAGCCTATAACTTTCAGTGAGTTCACAAATCAATAATATATTCTACTGTAGCATTTAATTTTGAATTTAAAATCCTTTACGTCTAATTTTTTCACACTTTACTCATGGAGATTCAGTGACTGTTGACAGACTTTATTGAAAGTTCATTTAACAATTATCTAATTTACATTGGGTCGAACGAAAAAATGTATACCGAATTTTAATTAGCGATCGGGAAAAGTGCTGGAAGAAATAACCCTGGTCAATATTAGAACATTATCTTAACATTTCTAACGGAATTAAGGATAACCACGGTCATTGAAGACAGCCCATCTCCCGGTCTACATTTCAAATCGAGACGTTCCCATAATAAGCAGGAGACATTTGACTTAGGTAATCCGTATAAAATTCATGGTGGATGAACGTAAAAGTGTCATATTTCAAAACGAAGATGGCTCTCTTCAGGGTTATAGAGACGTGTAGTGTCGTAGAAGTACACCAACGTTTCAGAGGTCTTTGCTACCTCCATCCTCAGGGCAATCGACGTTTATTTTTCAGTCTATTTCGAACTCTGGGATAGTATAGTAAATGATGCAAGGCCGCCTCCTTCCATATCTCTCCCAGCTCGTCATTCATAACCTCTGAAGTTGATACAAGCTCGCCGAGTAACCTATGAAACACTAACCACGGTGTGCTTGGTCAAGGTCTGTTTACATATCGGTACAGGGAAAGCTATTTCGTTTCTCTGAACATTTAAGTCTTCCAACCACTCGTAACAGCTACTGGTTCATGGCAACAGTCATTTTCTTCAGTTAATTCTAGGTTCATATAGTCGTATGCACCCATTATGAATTCGAAATGCTGTAGACACCATAAGTATGCCCTTTTAGCAAACTTATTTGTACTCAGATCCACATTCAATGAAAAGAAGGCCTTTGTGTTTGATATTGAGTAAAATGTTTATTAATTCTAGTATATAAAATGAACGCTCGTGAACATAAATGTCTGAAACAATGTTTGTAGCAAAGTAATTTTTTTTTCTTCAAAAATAATAAAACTTTTACTATATATTTTACAGTAGAAAAACTAATTACGATATTGTTATTTTATATTTAAGGGACCTCTTATACTTCTTGTGCAAGATATAAACGTCATATCGAGACTGGCGAGAAATGTGTATGATATTGTTTTAATAGTGAATAACAATAAACCAATTGAATAAAAAGTTTCTTGGATATTATCCATCGTCTAGTAAATATAAAACGTAAAACGACGTTTCGGAGATGGGACTCTATCTACGTCTTCAGGTTCCTACACAGTTGGGCCCACTAGATAGAGCTAATCCCTATCTCCTATTCAATTGACTCTTCACCATCGTCAAGAAATTTTAGATTTGATAAACAATAAACCAGTTACCTAAACTGATGATAAAACTGGGAACAGTACATGAATAGTTATGTAAATTGGAACCATAAGTAATAGTACTCCTGGGAAATGTAGGATATCTCTTGAAGTGAAACTTGACTATTTGCAAGGATGCATGTATTATGTGCTGCTATTTTGATATTCGGCAAGCTTTGCCTTGTTAGACTACTTCGGATGCACAAGAACGAAACTTAAAAAGAACCCAAACTTTATGGATATATAATTAAGAAATGTGCTCTTATGAATTTGATGTAAATAACACATTTACTACGTATGATACAAAGTTTACTGTATTCTGTATTGTTGCGCCGTGTTATGTTAGAAACTTACCGACGTTTCAGAGGTATTTGTTGCCTGAAAGCGATCATCACCCTGATTATGAAGGCAGCAAGAACCTCTGAAACATAGGTAAACTTCTACCAGACTAGACCTCACAACAACCCAGAAGACAACCATCTTCATACTCACCGCTATGATAACCTGAAATCTCACATGTGAAGAACTAAAGCAAATGAAACTCGTTTGTGATCCTCAGGTTATGAAATATGAAGCGAGTAGAGAAAAATCGATTTGGTTCGAGTACTCGCTGCTCCTTGACAATCGTTGATAGAGAAATTCGTATCTTTCGTGTGACTTGGTTTGTTGTTCGTTTCAGATCTTCGTCGGCTTCACCATCCTCTCGGCTGTGTCAGCATCCGGGTTATCCATCAAGGATAAACGCGGACTGTTTGACCTGGGTTACGGCTATGGTCTAAGTGGCTTTGGAGAATTTGGCGCCCTCGCGACAGGCGGCTTCAACCATGGACTACTTCCAGTCGGCGCTGGTTATGGTTACGGCTCCGGGTCCGGACACGGTCTTCTTCTAGAACCCTACGTACATACGAAGCACGTTGCTTACCCAGTGCCTCAACCGTATCCGGTCAAAGTTCCGGTAGAGAGGGTGGTACCCGTCCCTGTTGAGAAGCCAGTGCCTTATCCCGTAAATGTTCCAGTTGACAGACCAGTACCAGTCCCTGTCCAAGTTGATAAACCCGTACCTTACCCCGTCATTAAGAACGTCCCATACCCAGTAAAGGTCCCTGTAGACAGACCATATCCCGTGATTGTCCATGTAGAGAAACCAGTCCCGGTACCCAAAGAAGTCAGAGTTCCCGTACCACAGCCCTACCCGGTGCACGTACCAAAACCTTACCCAGTTTTTGTCGAGAAAACTGTGCCAGTTCCACAACCATATGCAGTCCACGTTAAGGTTCCAGTACCTCAGCCCTACCCTGTTCATGTCAAAGTCCCAGTAGCTGTCCCAGTTGACAGGCCTTATCCAGTGGAAGTAAAGGTACCTGTTGATCGCCCGTACCCAGTTCACGTACCCAAGCCTTACCCAGTGACGGTAGAGAGACCTGTCCCTTACCCCGTAGCCAAACCAGTCCCTTATCCAGTTAACGTGCCAGTTGATCGTCCTTATCCAGTAGCAGTACCAAAGCCATACCCAGTGACCGTGTTCAAGGAAGTCGCCGTACCAGTTCCAAAACCAGTGCCTTACCCTGTCGAGAGGCCCGTACCAGTCCCAGTAAAGATACCCATTGATCGACCATACCCCGTGGCTGTCCCTAAACCATACCCAGTGGAAGTACATAAACCTGTCCCTTATGAAGTCGAGAGGCCGGTCCCATATCCCGTTAAAATCCCTGTTGAAAGACCAGTCCATTACGCAATTGAAAATCCGGTATCATACCCCTTAGCTTACCCGCTGAAGAGTAAATACGGTGAATATTACTGATTTCCAAAGTAATTTTTTTGTGTTAATATCTAAATTAAATTAAAGCTATTTCTTCAAATTGACTGCCTGTCCCCTCAAAATGTAACGCTGTGTAATTGTTATTATTTCTACATGTATCTGAATTTACTGTGAAAATAACAAAACCATGATGAGTGAGACTGATAGGGGGTGAACAAGATTCATGTCATAATTAATTCATAATTAATTCATAATGATTAATAAGCCATTCCTTTCATACATGCGTCGAGGTAGAAAATTTTTTTCTCGCTGTAAAACGTATTTCTTTTTATGGAAGATGCATTTCTGTTTGCTGAAGGAAGGTTAAGAGTACACTATAAATTCGACGCCTGAACAATTCCTCCATTACTCCTCACCGTCACGTATCTGAAGATCACTGTTGTACGACGTGTGTAAAAAATATTTTTTTATAATGGATTTTAAGAAACATGAGTGATAAGTATGAATGAATGTAAGTTTTAATATGTACAAACTAACATTTTTTTATATGAATGCCCAAGTACAACCTGAGCTTCAATAAAGTAATGTAAATATATTTTTAATTTTATTGACTGGTTGAACTTTTGCTGCTGTCCTTGGTATTAACGCAGTTTCGTAAGAATAAGCTCCAGTTACTACTCTTCAAAGATTTCTCT